GCAGTCCAGTTGTTAATGTGCCCCTCATGCCGTGACAAAGGTTTTCCAGGGTTATCATGCCGCCCTGGACGCTGTGTCACGGTACTGGCACCAGCTGTGGCCTTCTGCTGCAAAATATTATAATTTAATTGGCAAAGGCGGCCAGTTTCAGGGTTTCCTTGCCAAGAATTTCTGGGGAGAGGATGCTGGAGTGTCAAAAGCTTCCTTGTAGCATATGTTGCGCTCGAGCGTGGAAATGGGAGCAAAGGGAGGCACTGGTAGAAACTTGCTGCGGAGTTTTGCCTGGTGAGCTGGAGCTGCGATAAAAATACATTATTTTTCAAGATGTGATCTTTTGTTGCTGTTGTTATTTCCTTCTTAGTAAACGCATGTATTTTGTTTTTACTCGTCTAGATGTTTCGAGGGGAAATAAGCTTAAACTGATGCTTCAGAAACGCGAAGGTAAGTAAAGAGCCAGCACAGTGCTTCCCCTTATTTTTCCTTTGAGTCAGTTGCTGTCGCTCGCAGCTGCCGACGTGTTGTGGCTCCGGCTCCAGCTCAGAGAGGGCAGTCGGAGCAGCAGCGTACCAGCACCCATTTGAAAGCTGGTAGCGCACAGCCGCTCTCGCCACGCGCCGTACCAAAACCTCCTGCGCGCAGGGTGCCAGCCCCGTGGAGCCTGTGCCTGCACGGCTGTTCGGGACGTGGTCCTGGCAAGGCTGGAGGCTCTGCTTGTCACAGGGCCCTCTGCAAAGCAGGATTCCCACCCTCAGGCGGTACGCCTGCCTTTTGCTCTGCGCAGTATGTAGCACCTACCTGTTCCAGCGCATGCATGGCAGACGTGGCGTTTATCTGGTTTATTCTGGGAAGTCACAAGCTTTTCCAAGGAACTATAACGCATGGAAACACCGCTGGCTCAGGTGCAGAGAAGGAAATGTGAAAACCGGGCTTGCTCCCTATGCCTTTTATTCCCTTTGTCCTCTTGGCCCCATATGTGCTTCCTTCTTGGAAGACGACTCTCCTTATAGGAGAGATGATGGCCAAGGGCCCAGCGGGCAGACGTGCCAAATTGCTTGCTGGTTGAGGGAAGGGGATGGAAACGGAGCTGGCCGGGGACAAGCAGCACTGCCGCAGATGGGGGCAGGCTGAAACACCCCAGAAGTTTTGGTTGCCTCCCCTCAGACCGCTCTATGGCTGAGGCAAAGAATTTATGCCCCCCCCCCCCCCAAGAGGGGACTCCCACTTTCTGCAAGCCTGCCTAACTTCTCACTGGGTTTTTCCTGGCATCACCCACCACCTCTTGCCAGCCCTAAAATATGTGCCCCATCCACGGCTGTTTTCCTTGCGTGTGGGTTCCCTACCTCAGCGTTCCGCAGCACCTGCACGCAGGTAGGGGTGACCGCTTGCAACAGCCGGCCTCCCTGCGCCCCAGCAGCGTTCGGCTCGTTTGTTCAGGTGCCCTGGTGAGCGGGACCGCCCAGGGAGAAGCTTCTTGAGCGTGCAGGCAACGCGGCCTAGACCAGGAAGAACTGCAAAGCCTTGAACTGATGATGGAGGGAATACGCAGCCCCTTCATTCCAGCCTCACTCCCCTTTTCCAGTTGTGCGCTAACGCGAGCAGGCTAAGCACGCAGTACTGGTTCCCTTGCTGGCAGTGTCCCTTGTGCGAGGCGCATTCACATGGCACTCGTTCCCCTGTCCTGCTTCCCACTAACAACACCCAGCTCGAGCGCACGGTGACTTACCAGTTTCCAGCCCATCCCTGCAGGGCAGCCTGCTGTTGCCCACTCTTCCTGCGACACTCATCTATCGTTTTTACCTCTTGAATGTCCTTCCCGCTGCAGTTCTTTGCCTCCCCCTGTAAGTCCGCCCAGCTCTTGCTTCGATGGTTTTCACACCTCCACCAGACTTCCCCTTCTGTCCTAGCCTTTTCCCTCCCACCCTCCAAAAATCCCCATCCACACCCGCGTTCCTGGCCTCTCCCTCATTGCAATGAATGCTCTAAAGCCAAGACGTTCCTCTTACTCCTACACATGCTTCTTGTTTCACGGGAAGACCAAACATCATACCACGTTTTATCATTTCCATGCACAGCAGGGGGCTAGCCAGTCCTTACATCCATACTTTTTGGAGGTACATAAATTCCTCCAGCAGCCGCAGCAAGCTGCCTGCCCCTTAGGCAGGGGGCAAGACAGACGGCACGTCTGGGTCGGGCAGGTTGAGGGCGTTCCCATGCATCCACCACGCAGTGAGCTATGAAAGCCTGATGGGCTTTTATTTTCAGGTGCAGAGGGCATTTAGTAGCACTCATTATATAAAAGCTACATTTTTACACAACAGATTGAAAAATCTGTCTTTTTACGTGTACCTCCCTTCACCCTAATAAGTTAGCAGTGTTTCTCCAGCTTCTTCAGGCTTTTTAACTTCACCTCCCACCTTCCTTCCCGCTCCTGTAACAGCAGCACAGAGGCCAGTCTCCTGTTCTCTCCTCAAAGTGAAACACAGTGTACGCTCTTTCAGTTTGGGTTTATGTATTTAAATTCCTTACTTAGCTTACGTCTTTGAGCTCAGAACAGCTTTTATCAAAGCCAGGAGAATGAGGGCAGCTGGGAAATCCTATTACACTGCCAATTCCTGGCTTTATTACTGTTACCGCTGCGACACGGATCGCACCGCCGAGCGCAAAGGTGATGGCATGACGCAAGAAGCATTTTCTTACTTGCTGCAAGCAGTACGCTTCAGACCAACTAAAAATTTCCTGGCATGCCTTTTTTTTGGGGGGGGTGGGGGTGGGGAATTAATTTCAGCCCCTGTTGCCACGAAGCCTGAGGTGTCAGTGAAAGAAACGGCGGCCAAGGAGTTCCTAAGCAGCCTGAGACGCCAGAGACGCCAGCTGTGGGACAGAAGCCAGCCCGACGTGCAGCAGTGGTACCAGCAGTTCCTGTACCTGGGATTCGACGAGGCGGTGAGTGTTACGGCTTTCGAGAGTTGGTAGGGCTTTAGAGTGAGCGGCTGCAAGCGTGGATACACAGCCACGGGGGCACCCAGGGAGAAGATGCCCTGTTTTCTGTTCACAGACGCTGTGATTTCTTTTGTTAAAGTAGCAAATGTTGCACAGAAATGTAAGCTCCGTATTTGTTAGAGATTTCTGCTTTATTTTGGTTTTTATTTTGAAAAAATGACACTAAAATCTTGCATGGAGTTCTTCCCTGCTACTGAACTTAAGCTTAACAAATTGCAACCAGCCAAAGTTTGCTTTGAGAAATAGGTGGCCAGACCCAAAGCAATCAATCGTATTTCAGGAAATTAATTTGGCAGCCTCAACCTAATCAATTTGCTTTTGAACACATTGAGAAATCCACACCAAGCTGGTCGTGATTGGCATTCCTCAATGAAATTGCACTCACATTACGTACCTAATGCATGCATGTGCCTCCACGGCGTGGGCAGCTACTCACCATTGCAAGCACACTGGCAGCTGTACCTCAACTCTAAATGTGAAAGGAAAGCCATTTGATAATGTGCAGCCAACCTCCCTTCAAATGAGAAGGATACTTTTTTTTTTTTTAAAACAGTTAATTTGTAAAAACACTGGAGTGGAATCAAGAGTTCCTGGCTCTGCACAAAGCTCTACTAAATAGATGCTGAAATAGGGGGAAAAAATGTGCATTTAGTTGCAGTCCCACACATAGAATAATTTCTATATTAATAAGAGGTAAAAATAGTTATAGATGTTGAATTTGTGGCTTCTGTCTGCTGCATGAATACATTTAATGAGACTGCATTGGCACAGGCAAGCTGGAGTACATTTTGGACCTTCACGCTATGTGGATTGCTCAGAAGATGAATGCACTCATTTTCAAAGCTGGAACAATTAGAAAAATAATCTTTTGCTTGGACTGAAATAATGAGGGATACTTTTTTTTGTATCCTCCTGGACATTATGCAGATAAAAGTGACTTTTTAACAGCATGGCTATATTATCCCCCTCCCCCAAAAGGAATAGGAAAAATAGGAAAAGTGGGTTTTATGCATCAGAAACTGAAGGCTGGGTGCAAATACCAAGAAATAAGTAATAAGGATAAACCATGCAGGTAAGATGAATTCTCCTCCGAGTTCCTGTGTGCATTTCAAAAACTGATATGAGGCCTGTTATGGGATACAATGAATCCACTTAGTAGGTTTTCTTAAGACACAGTTTTAACAATGAAATAACTGTTCCAGCAAAGAACTTGGGCCATACTTACCCATTGTGTATTTTGCAAAACTTTTTTTTTAAATCTCGGCCAAAAATATTTCCAAAGAGTCATTCAGATGGAAAGGCTTTGGCTTGGCAAGTATTTGATATCCTTGCACACTGTTTTTCCTCTGCTGTTGTGAGCAGAATTGAACTGCTTATTGCATTTCCATAGCTGGAAAGCTGTGCTGTACGTTTGCTTTTACCCATGCAAAACGGGAGTGAAAGATCACAGGCATAAAGCGAAAGCCTGTTGCACCCACTTTGCAGTCAGGGACATCGTGACTAAAGGCACGGGACAACAGAGAACCAAACCTTTAAATTTTTAAGTACAAAACATTACAATGTTTTTATAGTCCACTGCTGAAAAGGTAATGTAAGTATTAAAGGTGCTCAGTGCATGTTTCAGTTGAAGGCGCTCTCAGTTTAAGCACTTTACAGTGGGCAGAGGGTGTCGGGGTGGGTCCCAGGTGGGGCTGGGCAGGACAATGCCTGCACTCGGGGCCCTGTTAATTCCATAGAGAAAGTAGGTGCAAGTTCAAAACCCCTTAGATCTAAAGATTTTGTTTTGACAAATACGCAAAGGATCTGAATTTCTGAATGAGACAAAAGGAGTCTCTTGTACCACTTCTGTTTCACTCTCTTTGTTGTAAAGTTGCAGGCTTGGAAACCAAGTATTTTCTTTTTTCTGCAGAAATTTGAAGATGACATCTCCTACTGGACAAGCTTAGGGCGTGCTCGTAATGAGTACTATGGTGGCTACTACCAACACCACTATGATGAAGATTCACCAATTGGCCCACGAAATCCACACACCTTCAGGCATGGAGCAGGTGTCAACTACGATGATTACTAATGCCATTTATCCTACTATAGCTGGCGCCTATAGGGCTGCACTGGGTGAGGCCGAGTCCTCCCTCCGTCAGAATGACCAGAATGACCCCGCTTGCCTCTTATTCATGTAAAACAGCAACAGTAAAGGAACTGCCAGACTTCGAAGAAAGAAACGTGACTTTTTTTTAATTATTGTTACTTAGTAGTACACTATATATAAAGTGTTATAGAAATAAAGCTTTTTTGATAAAATAAACAGGTTGCCATTATTTAGTAGAGTTTGTAACAGCAAGTTTCATTCCGATTGTATTACTACAGATTCCTTTTTAAAGGTCTTTTTCATTTGCTTTCCTACAATCAATTGCAAAATTACATTATATCATCTAGTTTGGCATATAGAATACATAATATAAGCCAATACATTTCAGATGTGCCTTGCTCATTAAGATTTGTGTCAACAAATAAATTCGATTATTCTCAGGGGAAAAGAAAAAAACCCATTCCTCTCAACTGAAGTGCTGCCTTGTTGCCTCCTCTGCTGTTTCCATACCTACTGCGCACAGCCCTCCAAACTTGCGTGATACGGCACTTCAACAGTTCCTGTTAGGGCAAGGACACAGATGTTCACAAAAGCTAAATTCAGTGCAGAGGAGCTCGCCTTCTGCCAAAGGCTGTGAAAGGGAAGGATTCTCCAGGGAAAGGGCTCAGTGCAGCAACCTGACTTCAAAAGTAATCGCTGAGACGCAGAGCATCTAACCTGAGTGGCCCCAACCCTCCCCAGGCACGATTATCTTTGATGAATACTCCCCTTTGTGTCCTTTCCACTTAGCTGCAAGATTTCAGTCTAGATGAAAACAGGGAATAAAATAACAAAATAAGCTATTTAAAATGAAGTTAGTATCAGATAGCGTCCAACACAGTCCCCAGACATAATTTCCTACCATGAAGTTGCTTCTATCCCCAATTCAAACTGGAATCTATGCACATTAGGCTGACCATCAAAATATATCAGAGACCGGGCGCTTGTTAATGAAGTCTAGTGGATTAAAGGGGGGTTGGTTGGTGGGGTTGTGTGTATTAAGAACCCCGAAATACAACCAACTTTTCTACCACAGCAACATCAGCCATGCTGCTGCTTCTCTCTCGTTACTGTAGAGAAAGTCCTGACTCAGACCTAAGCCAAGGAGAGCCAGGGGCTTCAGGAGGAGCTTGGTGGGGGAAAGCACTGCTGAAGCTTGACAAGTGTAGAGGACTGGGAAGGGGCAGGTGAGGAAGGCTGGCTGGCTCCATGACTTCTGGAGCTGAAGAATAAGGATAAAGAAAGATGAAATGTGTACTGCAAACTATAGCAGCGTCGGAGAAGAAAGACGGCATGGATGCTTTAGCTGTCTGTCATCTAAAGCTTACAAGAAGTTTCCAAAGCATTCTTTACACTTCACTTCTTTCTTAACTCTGGGTGTATTTCCTAATCTTTCACTTAAAGTCCCCGTTTTGTGATGGACTGGTATCCAGGAGAGGCAGCCCAGCAC